CTAGTCATAGAATATTTGTGCTTTTGGGATTTTTCCTAAAGGGCATAAAACCCTCAAATAATTTCCAAGTTTTCCTACTAAAAAAACCTTCAAAAACCTAAAAATGTTACTCCTAAAGCAAAGGTTGTAAATCAAGAATCCAAATAAAGTTTAATTTGTACGGTGTAACTTCTAAAATGAGTTTTCTATATAAAAAAAAAGCATGGATAAAGCGGATGAAATTTATAGTTAGATCTGGAATTAAACTCTGTAATTTAGCATGTATGAGACATACTTTGAGACTGAAAAACTTGGCCAAGTGCATTTTCCTCATTTACAAAGTATTGGTATGAATACTGCTTGCCCTGGCTGGTAGCTCAGTTGGTTAGAACACTGTCCAATGTGCCAACGTTGATGGTTCGATCCCCAGTCAGGGTATATCCAAAAAGAAACCAAAGAATGCATAGGTAAGTAGAATAGCAATTAGATGTTTCTCTCTAAATTAAAATATTTTTTTAAAAATATATTTTATTGATTTTTTACAGAGAGGAAGGGAGAGGGATAGAGAGTTAGAAACATCGATGAGCGAGAAACATAGATCAGCTGCCTCCTGCACACCCCCTACTGGGTATGTGCCCGCAACCCAGGTACATGCCCTTGACCAGAATCGAACCTGGGACCCTTCAGTCCGCAGGCCGATGCTCTATCCACTGAGCCAAACCAGTCTGGGCTAAAATATTTTTTAAAAAAGGAGTAACTGCTTTACATGGTTGGTGTGATTATATTAGAGACCTAGCAAAATGCTGGGAAAGAGCAATTAAAAGGCTCCCAATAAATTATATCTTTTATTATTTCTATCACAACTAAACAAACTACTCTACCACAATGTAGTCCAAAATCCTCTCCTGGTATCAAGAACACTTGGCCAATGGAACATGATCCTGAAATAGCTGGGTAGCAAAAAAAGTAAAATCCACAGACAGGCAATTGTCAATCACTGTATTTTATTACAATACTAGGGGCTCTGTGCACGAATTTGTGCACCTTGAAAGGAACTGTGGGCCACAAGGCTGCAGTGGGCACAAAGACTGGTCTCAGCCTATCCTTTGTGCCCCTGCATGGCCCCTCCCATCGTGGCCTTCAATCCCTGGTCTGCTGGAAGCCCTGTTCCTGCCTCTGCCACTCCCACACGCTGACAGTGCTGGTCCTGCTCGCACCTGTTGATGGTGCAGTGAGCGGGGCCAGTGCCGTCTGCTGCCTTTATTGCCCCACAGGAACAGGGGGAGGTGGAGAAGCCCTCAGGGGACATCAGGACCAGCACTGGGCATCGGCAGTGGGTGTGAGCGGCAGCTCCATTGCCAGCAGTGGGTGTGAGAGGTGGCTGCCAATACCGATTGCCCCTCAGAAGCAGGGGGAGGTGGAGAAGCCCTGAGGGGTGATAGGGGCTGGCAGCCGCCGCTCGCACCCACCGACGGTGCTGAGTGATCGGGGCTGGTGCTGGGCCCAGCAGTGGGTGTGAGCAATGGCTCTGGTACCAGCAGCTGGTGTGAGTGGGGCTGGCGCCAGCAGCAAGTGCAAACACTGGGCAGGACCATGGTGCGCAGGAGCAAATAATTTTCAGTAAGCACCAGGGGCTCACCCCGATGACAGTGACCAGCACCCCGCCTTGATCAGGTGCCCCTGCTCACCTGCTCCACCATTCTGCCACAGCTGGTGCCCACCATGTTCCACGAGTGCCCCCTGGTGGTCAGCGCACATCATAGCAAACGACTCTTCTATTTGCATATTAGGGTTTTATATATTTAGACTAGGGGCCTGGTGCATGAAATTCGTGCACTTGGTGTGTGTTGGGGGGAGTGTCCCTCAGTACAGCCTGCCCCCTCTCACATCTGGGAGCGCTCGCCCCTAACTGCCTCTGCCTGCCTGATCACCCCTAACTGCCCTTCCCTGCCAGCCTGATCTCACCCCCACTGCCCTCCCCTGCTGGCCTGATTGCCCCTAACTCCCTGCCAGCCTGATATCGCCAACTGCCCTCCCCTGCTGGCTTGATTGCCCCTAACTGCCTCTACCTCGGCACCCACCACCATGGCTTTTTCCAGAAGGAAGTTGGACGTCTGGAAGATGGCCAATTGACCTGGTCTAATTAGCATATTACCCTTTTATTAGTATATAGGATAGGATTCCTTAAATGGGGGTGGGGGGAGAACCTTCTTCAGCAGAAAGAAATGCTCTTGGCAGACAAAAATACATAATCCCTATATCTGGACTGATAGCCAGCCATATGCACTATACTGCCAAACTGATCATTAAAAACATTGAACCCCTTGCTTACACCTTACACCAAACAGCTGTTGCCCTTAAAACCCCTCCTCAGCCCGCACCTTAGGTTCTGCCTTCACAGTTCACCAGATTAGGTTGTGATTGGTCGGTTTCTATGCCAGTCAGCATCAAAAGCTCCACCTCCTAGGCAGCCATTGGCTCCTCACAGTTCACCCAGATTTGGTTCCAATTGCAAATTTTTTATGCCAGTCAGTGTCTCCGGGCCTATCTCCAGGCCTGATCAGAGAGGCAGGGCTGATCAATAGCCACCCCAGGCTGCTGGTGAGAGGGCTGAACTGGTAATTTCTTAGAAAGAGGCGCAGCTGCTGGCAAGGTCTGCTGATCGGCCCCACTTCTCTCTCCCCCTCCAAGAGGTCCCCACCCACCGGAGCCTGCTGCATGCAGCCTGGCATTTGGTTGAGGCTTCAGTCATTTTGGACGCTACGGACCTTGGGTTTTTATATATTGGGATACTTAGTGTACCAATTTAAAAGGAAAAATGTAAACAAAATTAAAGTCCAGGGAAAAATGGCACTTCTCCTTAATCTTCAATTTAAAGTTATTCTTTAATAATCCATTTACATCATTTTATTATTAAATTTTAAACAACATCACTGCTGAATTTCAGACTAAACAATGAATGAGTAGAAATGATAACACCATAAGAGTTAAGCAGAGGAAGTAATACTGATTAAAAAGTTGAATGTAAAATCTACCTTGGCTAGAACTGAACATTGATAACTTTTTCCAAAGAGAAAATGTAACTTGAATCATAAAGGTTCATTTTTTTATGTAGTCCAATACCATATTAATTAGAAACTCATGATTTGATAAAAAAGGTTTTACTTAGTTACATTCGACTTCTAAGATCCTACTGGGCATGCTATTTGCCATGTCTTACTTTCCTGAGATAACTATCTACATTTCTTTTTTTAAAATATTTTTTTTATTGATTTCAGAGGAAGGGAGGAGAGGGATGGAAGCATCAATAATGAGAACCATTGATCAGCTGCCACCTGCATGTCCCCTGCATGGGGAATGAGCCTGCAACCCAGGCATGTGTCCTTGACTGGAAGCAAACCTGGGACCTTCAGTCCAAGGCTGACGCTCTATCCACTGTGCCAAACCAGCTAGGGCTCTGCATTTCTTAAAAACGAGAAATGAGAGTTTACCTGTGACTGAAGTTTCAAGAAATAGTTTGGTGCTATTAGCTAATATCTTATAGTTAGAATACTATATCTGTAGTTCAGAAGTGCTTTGATTGGATTCCATTTTAGAAAGATATTCAAAATAACAAAAACATTCTTCTAACAGCAAATAATGTTCCCACTTTTTAAAAAATGTTTTTATTGATCTTTTAGAGAGAGGGAGAGAAACATTGATGTGAGAAACATTCATCAGTTGCCTCCCATAAGCACCCTGACCAGAGATCGAACCTGTAACCTAGGTATGTGCCCTGACTGGGGATCAAACCAGGTGACCTTTTGGATGACGCTCAACCAACTGACCACACTGGCCAGGGCTCTCCCACTTTTTATTTGACATATTGATATTTCCATAAACTTGTAAGTGGAGATAAGCTGTTCAATAAAAGCCATTTCATATGTACAATATACAGAAATTATTTAAAAGTCTGTTCATATAATGGATTCTTTGGGCACTAATAAAAAATTAGGATACAAATAAATGACTAAAAATGAAACTATCATTAAACCAAGAAACACAGGAACTGCACTTCATTTCAGGGGGTAAAAATATCAATCTTACTGTGTTAGAAGAATAAAATACATTTGTCATAGTATACATTATCATATTCCCTTAAAGCAGAGAGTAAAGTTTTAAATTAAAAAGTGTTCTTATTACTTGTCTATACATTTAGGAACTAACTTCATACCACTAGTTACACACCATTCTCTCATCATGCAAAAAAAACACCTCATTTATTTCCTAAGGTCTACTTAAGTCAAACAATAAACTAGTAATAGCAAATTAATTAGCAGGCTATAAATCAGAGCAGTGTAGAAATTCTGCAGTTGAATTGTATTTCTTGTCTATAGTACTGCTGCTATTAAATCCGTTTTGTCCACATATTAGAAGGAAAAAAACTAGGCATTGACAGTCAAAATAAGATTTTCATTGCTACAACAAATGACAGAATATGTGAGAAAAGGAAGAGTTCCTAATGTTACGGCAATCTTTGTGATCTATATATATAAAAGCCTAGGCGACTGGTCGACTGGTTGCTATGACGCACACTGACTATCAGGGGGCAGATGCTCAACACACAGGTGTAGACACATGGAACAGACTAATAAATCTCAGAGGGGAAGCGGCAGTGGGGAGGGCGGAAAAAGATTAACCAAAGATCTTATATGCATACTAGAGGCCTGGTGCATGGATTTGTGCACTGCTGCCCCCTCTTGCAATCTGGGACCCTTCGGGGGATGTTGGACTGCCAGTTTTGGCCCAATCCCTGTAGGCAGGCCGAGGGACACCACTGGTGCACGAATCTGTGTACCAGGCCTTTAGTTCTTTATAAAGGTAAAGGGTCATTGTGTGCATATATGTGGAAAGGAGTATGAAACAAAGGCAGGTGGTTAGGACAGACATATAAAGGGAATGCTGAAACTATATTAGAATTATATTTGTTTAAAAAAACTGAAGTCTGCCAATCAAGTGTACAAAAAAAGAGCAGACATTAGTGCAAGTTTAACCTGATAATTTATTTGTGGATAAAGCTAGTTTTGGTGAGGAAAAGTTTAATCCTTTCCCTGAAAACATAAACAAACTCAAAAGGAATTTTAAAGGTAGTAGGCCAGAAAATGCAATAGTAATTCTTGTAATCTTTTTTATTTAAAGAGAAAAATCAAGTTGAAATGTGTTAAAATACTTTTCAGATTGAATATTTATCAGCCTATATAATCTGTTGTTCAAATTGGATTTTGACTTAAAAAAATTTTATACGAGCTATCACATCTAGAAGTGAAGAAAATAAATTAAATCCCCTCCCCCTTCCCAAGATATTATTTAACCTCTAAAGCATAAAAAGCTATGTACTATCTTATACAAATTAACCAGTGTTCTTAAAAAAGTAATGCAATTTTGGACTGATGATATGCTGTATTTGTGGTGAAATACTAGGCACAAGAATATGTGTATATATATATATCAATTAGGCATTTTCAAGTCTAATTAGTCTCTAAAGTTATTTAATTCTTGGCAACATTGGTATGCATTTTGGTACTTAAGTCATGAATTGTAGAGAACAAGAGCAGTAAAGTATAGCAACAGGGTCTGTATCAACAATGAGTGTTGAACAAATCTCTTCTATGAACTCTGTGATTTGTTTTGCAGTTGGTCACTTGTAGTAGATCCTGCAAAGATAAAAGAAAAACAATCAACATAATTTGTTTATTGTATAGTCTCAACTTGGGAACTCCCTGAGCTAAAGTTCCCTTCCATCACCATTGATGATTAACAAATAAAAAGATCTAAAGAACAAATATGGTATATTTCACGTAGGTAAAATAGTCTGATATGAAAGAGTCTGCATACCCGCTTAAATATTCTAAAGAGCAGAACTGGAGTGTCAATTTGGTGACAAGACAAAAAGGTTTCAGACTCACATTTCTGTGAGTAAATCACAGGTGGATAGCTGAGTTAATTACAACTCAAATACCCAATGCTATAAAAAGATTGGCATTTATGTTATCAAAATTATAAAATTATAAAATGCTTAAATATATAAAATTTATATATTTTATAAAATATTTCTTCAGATTCTAAATATGCTACTTTTAAAAAAAATTAAAAAAACAATAAAACAGAGGTCAGGGGAGAGGGGAGAAGAATAACGCTAAAAAAGTAATGGGTTCTATAAAACCTGGAGATTTTAAAAGCTGATAAGAGTATTTTTTAAACCAAAACGGGTAGAGGATAAAGAACTTTCTTCCCTGTTTTATTTTATAGTCTTTTCTATCTTTGTATACTTTATGAAGCTAGATAGAATATATTCCTATGTAAGTAGTACTTCATCTCCACTGAAGAAAAATCAAGCACTGAGCTAATACAAATTTTAATCATTATCTTTAAATGATAAAATATACTTATGTACTATATGTGTGAAATCTAATATCTTACAAATAGAAAGACAAAAAGCTATTTTCAAAAGCTGTGGTTTAAAAAAAGAAATCCCTCTAACCTTTGGCACAGTGTTCCTGGTGCAAATTCCCAGAGGCAACTAAGGTAAGTATTTACAGTGTTTGACCAGTTATTAAGAACTGATATTGAAAGTCTGAGCAGAAACTGATGAAAACTCATAACCAAAGAAACATTCATTTTTAATACATCAAAATAAATTACTAAGATATAGGTGGTAAATGGGAAACAAAGACCAATTAGGAGAAAGGCCAACTAAAAATGAGTAATAAATTTTAAAAAAGACATATAACAATTATTCAAAATAAAGTTTGTTCAAGTTAAATATAAGCTAAACAGATTATAGCATATACAACGGAAATGAAATGCTGAATAAAGTAAACTGTATCACCCTGGCTCAATAGCTCAGTTGGTTAGGGCACCATCCCGATAGGCCAAGGTTTCAGGTTTGATCCCAGGTCAGGAATCAATCAGTGAATACAAAAATAAGTGAGACAACAAATTAATGTGTTTTATTTTCTCCGTCTTTCTCCATTCCTCTCTTTCTCTAACATCAATAAATAAAAATTAAAAAATGAAACAGAAAACTATACAAATGGCTAAATAAAGCCTAATATGGAATATCAAAAAATACTGTAATAATATTTTTATTATAATGAGACAGCTATCAGATTCTATCACAGAATACTGATATTTCACATATGCTCACCAAAACAATATAATAATTTACTTTCCTAAGACTTAGCCATCCAAAGCACAACAATAAAGTTACATCTCAACTGAAAAGCATGTTTGCAATTACAAAGAGTAGGTAAAACAGGCACAACATCTGCATTAGTGGTGTAGAAGATTCACCTACATGGAATACCAAAATAACAGCTTGCTAAAAATAAATAAATAAAATCTATTTCCTATGACTGATCAAGAGTTGGTAGGCCGCAGGGGCAGACTGTCTGATACTTAAAAAAACAAAACAAGCCCTGGCCTGTGTTGCTCAATGGTTAGTCAGCCTGAGCACTGAAGAGTCAAGGGTTCAATTCCTGGTCAAGGGCATGTACCTGGATTGTAGGTTCCATTCCCAGCCCCAGTGAAGAGCGTGTGCAAAGGGCAACCAATCAAGAGACACATGATGTTTCTCTCTCTCCCTCTGCCCCCTTCCATTCTCTCTAAAAAAACCAATGGAAAAAATATCCTCAGGTGAGGATTTATAAAAAACCAATTAGCCAAATAACCTGTCAATCCAAGAGTCAAAAGAATCAACACTGAAAACATATCATACAATTTGTACCCAAAGGGATATTAAAACAAATCTTCCATATTAAAAACATTTTTTCTAAAGTTTAAACCTTAGATTATGAAATATCAAAAAGGATCTAAAACATTAAAAACAAAATACAGCTTAATATGAAGACAAGCATCATTGCTTAAAATCAAGTAAACCAAAACACATTAATATATAATATAAAATATGGTCTTAAATCAACTCTTGGCATAAAAACTTTATTATTTTGAGATTGGCCACAGGTGTTTAAATTTTAGAAACTTTTGGCATAATTGAGTGCCAGCAAAATATTCTGAGATTATTCAAGTTTAAACCAAAATAAAGTCTATTAGGTACAAAGGATTTCAAATGTCTCAGGAATATTTCTTAAACACCTAACCTTGATTTGATTCTTCCATATTCATACTTTCTCCAGTTGCACTCTCTAACATTTCTTCATCTTCATCATCTTCATGTAGATCTTTTGAAATTAATTGCCTAGCTAATTTCATATTCAGTCCTTCATTGTAGTGAAGCTTCCTTTTCATTTCAAACTGTCGCTTTTTTTCTATAAAATACAAAAAATAGACTTAGAAGTCTTTAGCTCAAGGACTGGCAAACTTTACAGCCTATATCTGTTGGTACTGCTGGAACACAGTGATGCTCATTTGTTTTTGTAATGTTTAAGGTTGCTTTTGTGCTCAAAGGCAGAGCTGAGTAGCTGCAATAGACCAATATGGCATATAAAACCGGAAATATTTACTTTCTAGCCTTTAAAGAAAAAGTTTGTCAATTTCTGCTTTAGATAGTTCAGGAATATCTTAATTGAAATACAAGAATAAAGCCATTGAGTAGCTCTATTTGTGAAGAAAATTTAAAGATACTGAAAAACTTTCCAGAAAGAGTTGAATAGGGGAAAAAAGCAAACTGTAATACTGTGTGTGTGTGTGTGTGTGTGTGTATTGACAGTCTGAGCAGAAACTGATGAATACTATGCAGAAGTATTATATACAAAGCCTGCATGTATGTGCATGCATACATATGGAGAGAAAATAAGACTCAATAAGTAACAGTGGGTAATTCTGGGCCAAGAAACTATAGAATAATATTCATATTTTCAAGTTTTTATTTTTATAATTAAAAAATTTCTTTAAGAAATTCTTACTATTCATTAAGAAATTACTAGGATATAAAAAAATGCTGGCTAAAAACGCAATCTGAAGAGTAATTTTAAGAAAAACCTATTGTTAAAGTTATTATAGTGAAGGAATTACGGACTATTCTTTTATTTATATTCACCATAGAAACATTAAACAAGCAACAAATAAACATAGCTGATCATAATTAATAGACAGCATTTTAAAGATCAACTGTTTATGAAGAAATAAGTCTTAAGATTTTAAAATTTCTTAGACCTGTAAATTAAAAAACAAAAAAGGGGGTTGATATAAAATTGCCAACTATTTATTTTGTCAAACAAGAGAGCATTCAAACTCATTCACCATAGTTTTATTATGGCATTCATAAAAATATTTTAATGCCAAAAAAGGCATAAATAAATAGAAATCTCTCGGAATACAGCTATTCAAGGTACTTCCTCAATGTCCTCAAAATCCAAGTTTTTATCATTATGTATACTTATGTTTTACAGGCATTTATAGTTCATATCACCACTCATCAATCACTTTCAGGAAAGTTCTGAGACCAACATCCATTTCAGCATTCCATAAAGATCTTGCCAAGTATCTTTCTTCTTCTCTGCTTATAGATTCCTTTGTGATTTGTTTTAGAGTACCATATTGTAAAGAGGATTGAAATTAAGAAAGAAAAAAAAAAAGACCATTAAAGAGACCAAGTTCTCATGACTAAATTTTTAGTTATGCCTTTAAAGTATTCTGATGATGTAGTACAAAGCAATATAAAAAAATAAAACATTCTAATTGCCTCCAATACCATATAAATTTACTAAAAAGGTAACACTTTTTCTCATTACAAAGTAACACAATTTCATGAGAAGCATAGTAAAATTCTGCCATGTACAGAGCAAGTTTACATAATTTAAAAATGATTATAAAGTATGAGTACAATTTTATCCCCTATATCACAGATTCCTGATTTCCCCCTTTATATTTTCAATGTTTTTTACTATGTAATATACATACATTTTTGTGTATTTGTTCTATTATCTTTGTAATATTAACTAGTGTGGTTTCAAACTGTGCTTCATGACTATTGAGTCACAACTAGCATTTAAAGAAAAAAAGAAAAACGGAAAAAACTGACACATCACATATAGTAAAGGGGAATACTCTTGTGTACTTTTTATGTTTGTAATTTTATGTACACATGTATATTAAATGGGATTTCATTAAATATGTTTAAAAAAACATTAAACACTGGGAAACTGAATTACTAGATCAAAAGATGTTTTGTTTTGTTTTTAGTTTTCATTTTCCATGCCTACCAATAGTAATAGGAGTAACCTATTTCTCCACATTCACACCAAAACAGATATTGTCTTTCTTTTTAATCCTTGTTGATCTGAAAGGAAAGAAAGGTACCATGACACTTTTAATTTGTAGTTCCTTATTCCTAGGAGTTGATATAATAGTATATTTGTTTTGGTGAATTATATTTATAGCCTAAGAAAATTATTTCTTTTTAATTTTAAGAGATAATAAACTTAGTATTACTTATTACAGATATATTCTAGTTTTGGAATACTCAAAATTTATTACATAATTTAATAAATTTCTATTCACTTCACAGAAAGCTGCTAATATACAAATGGTCTTATTCTTCTTTGAATATATTCATTTCATCTATAATCCTTGTATGGCAAAGCAACATAATGCAGAGTACAAGGACATTCCGATTTCAAGCCCAGATGTAATAATAATGAACTAACCATATGGACTAGACAAGTGAATTATTCTTTTTATATTTTCTTTTACTATCCTACAAACTAATATAATGGAGAATATACCAATTATTTTAAGTTCTTAAAAGTTAGTATTTACTGAGCACTTAAAATATGCCAAGAAGCAGTGCTAATACCAATGGCTCTCAATATTTCTAAAGCTCCCGATTTATAAATGAGGAAATGTAGACTCAGAGAAATTAAGTAAATTAGACAAGTGACATATCTGGAGTACAAACTTAGATCTGACTCCACAGTCAGTATCTTAATTATTATGCTATCAGTTACAAGACAATTTTTTCTAAAAACTTCTGTCAATAAACAAGGCTTTTTATAAAACATGTAATTTGTTTATAAGTAATAAACATCTATACGTATATATGCATCAGTAACTCTACTAGTGGAAACTGAACATGTGAAATTGCCAACTATTCAATAGTTCCCCCTGCTGGCTAATTCCCAGAAGTACAATTTAAGGAAAAAACCCTTAATGAAAATTGTCAATATAGGTTAATAATAAATTCCCTGTTCTCAATGGATCATGTTTTTAGAGAATAATGAAAAAAACAAGATATAGAATTTCTATCTGAAACCCTTTTAAGGGTCTTTTGGGGTATATGTTGGGAAAATATAAGTCAGGAAGTCACTGTGGATACAAAATATATAATACAATTTGAGATTATGCTATGACAATTAGGCTCAGACTATCATAATTTCATTGAATAATCTATATTCTAAGGATGTGAGGAAGGAATAACTAATTATACCTTAGCAGCTGCCTATGACAAAGACTCTGAACTTCTTTTACAATATGTAGTCTCTACATTTCAAAGCTCTAATAAGTACACTACTACTCTCTTTTTTTCTTTTTCTGAGGGTATGTGGGTGTTTCTTGCATCTTTTTTTCCTACACATAGGCTTATGGTTTTTTTCCTTTTAAAAACAGTTTAAAATAAATTATATAAACAATTTTTAGTTCTTAAAACGATTCTACATTCATATGATTCAAAAGGTATAAAAAGCAAGGTGAAATATCTTCCTTCTCTCCGAACCTCCATACATAACCACTGTTACTGCAAAAACAGAAATAATGAGTAGATAGCAATGCCTTACTGTATATGTGCTATATGGGCTACAAGGGCCTTTTCCATCCTTGTTGAGAGGTTATCTTTATCTTCTTTCCTATGACACTATCATTCTTTGTATGATGGAACCTAATAAAATTCTTCTTACTTTGCCTGATTATCTGGAATTATTAAGTTTTTTCTGCCTTGAAACAGAAAAAGCACAAACCGGGAAATAAGCTTTTATTTCTATCCACTTTAAAACCAAACACTCAATGACTCTAAAAGCGTTAATCTAATAAATATTTACTGAGCATCTACTCTATGCCAGGCACTAAAAAAGTACAAAGGAACATCAATAATTACTTTAAAGATGGTAATATTTTCCCAAATTCTTGATATCGAGGTGGAAAACACTGTCAATACAATAAACACACATAAGTAGAATTTGAATTTAAAAATGTTGCTCCCAATCTCTCTCATCCACTTTCCAAAAAAGAAAACCATTTTACAATCTTCCAAATAATGGGTTTATTTTAAGCAAAAATTATTAGCATAATGCTGAAAGCAGAACAGCAAATAAAACTACCTTGTTCTTCAGGTGAGAGGTCACCGTCTTCATCTTCACTGCTTTCTTGTACATGAACCTGATACTTTGACTCCGAGCCTTCAGCAGCAGCTAATCTAAACAATCATTTGCAAAGAAATCAACACTCTGATATTCTTATATTTATAACTCAGTGACAACTTTTGAGTACCATTAAAACATCTAAAGCTCATTAACATACTAGCTATAACTTGATGAGGAAAATAAAAAGCAAGAGAGTGAGATGGGTGTAGAAACCAATACGCAACAAGAAGACTGGAGGGTGAGAAATCAATGAACAGCAAAGAAATAGAGCTTTTGTTTAGAAATGCAATTATTTTTGCCTTCCTCACATTTATCTTTAAAACTCAGGAGGCAGCAATATCAAAAAAAAACAAAACAAAAAACCACAATCAGTGTACTAGGCTCTGGTACTCTAATCTTTCTGTCACCTGCATACCTTGATTTTAATCTAGAAACAAGGCTATAAAAGTTGTTACGAAAAATCCAGATATACTTAGCACATGCTTTTTATTTACACTCGTACAAGTAAAATGCCTTTAACTCTGCACAATTAAAAACAGCATAAGTGTAAGTGCCCTGGCTGGTTTGGCTCAGTTGGATAGAGCATTGGCCTGCGAACTGAAGTTCCCGGGTTTGATTCCGGTCAAGGGCACATGCCGGGTTGCGGGCTCGGTCCTGGGTGGGAGGCTTACAGGAGGCAGCCAATCCATGATTCTCTCTCATCATGGATGTTTCTGTTTCTCTCTCTCTCTCTCTCTCTCTCTCTCTGAAAACATTAAAAAATATATTTAAAAAAACCCCAGCATAAGTGAAATGCTTTATAGTCAACAGTACTTACTTCTTAGCTAATGTATCTGGGGTCAGGGCTTCAGTGGTTTCTGAATCACTCAATGCATCTTCATCATCACCTATCATACTAGGACAACAAGCAGATTATAATTAATAATGGAACTATAATTTTTCAAGCAGAAAAACAAGGTAAATATAATCCAATTGACTTACTTAAAATATCAAGACATTTATAGCTCTGTTGTCATCTTTGAAGTTTAATTTGTTTCAATTCAATGCAAATATTTAAAAGTAAATGATTAAAAAACAACAACACTACTGCAACCATGAAGATAAATATTGAAAATTCAAACCATCTGAAAAAAATACTTCGATTATTCCATCCAGTGGGGGTGGGGGGACAAATAATGCAAAAACAAACTAACAAAACCATCTCACTGTCTATTTTACAATATGTACTGTTACATAACCTGAAGATGAGACAAAGGGATCTATGCAGACATAAGGTTAGGTAAAATAACAAAACTGGACCCTAAAGACCTCATTCAGGAAGTTTTAAACGCTATTTAGCTTTCTAGATCTACCCTCTAATGAAGTATATGCTCCCCACTTAATTGCAAAAATGGGCATCTTTAATTTTCAAGCCACTGAAAAGTATATAAAACAGAATTTAGCTACATATAGAGAGATATAAATATATACCTATATATCTACATACCTATATGACTTATACCTTTCCTGGTTTGTTAAGGAGGCAAGTAAAATAAGTGCTATGGTTTAAATGATGCTCTTTTTCCAAGTGAAGTTGGAATAAACTCATTTACATTAAGCAGGGGACAGAATCATCTATCAATTTGAAGAACTCTTTTATAAAAAATCTAGGCTTTGTTATAAAATTTACAGATGAATTACATGTGTATATGTATACACACACACACACACACACACACAGTGGAGCAAAAGTAGGCTTAGAGTACACGAAACAGTTTATTCTTGTATTATTATTTATTGTCTTATTTTCCATACAAACAACTATAAACTTACCTTTTTTATTTTTATTCCTCACCTGAGGACATTTTTCCATTGCTTTTCAGAGAGAGTATATGGGGAGGGGGGAGAAAGAAAAATTGATGTGAGACACATGTATCGGTTGCCTCCTGCATGTGCCTGAATGGGGCCAGGGATCGAACCTGCAACCCAGGAACAGGCCCTTGACTGGGGATTGAACCTGAAATCCTTTGATATGTGTGGGCCAACACTCATCACTGAGCAACAATGGCCAGGGCTATAAAAAGCATCTTAAAGAAAAAAAAAAGCTCTTTAAGAAAAAGAGCTGGTAAAACTGAGCACCACATTGAGAAAACCTAAGCACATACATTTGTACATACACACAGCCTCAATCATTTAGGGACCAAATAACTTTAGAGACTCTCAGAGGAAGAATATGGGTAAGGGAGAGGGAGAGGGAGAAAAAGGCTATGGTTGTAAGCTTGACCAGTCCGACCCTGCAGGCCTAGGTAGCTAAGGGATGTGGGCTACAGGAGGGGAGGGGGGTGTGGGGGGTGAGTATGTTTGTGTGCACCTGCAGCAAGTGCTGCCTAAATAAAGCTTGATAGAGTTCAGAGAATGGCAACAACAGGAAAGAAGCAGATTTGAAATTCACAAGAACATTGTAAACATCTTGCCCTTGTTTAGCTTTGTGTGATCTGACTATAAAATAAAGCTTCAGCTCACAGGCTGTGTCACTGTTTCCTCATCCAGGCACAGTGATCTACCTGGTCCCAACTGTATTCATGTGTGTCTTCTTTAATCCTTCACCGCCCCTCCTCAGTTCACCACTGGCCGTGCTGGACGTGGTTCATCTACCATTCAGATTTATTATATTTTAACTATAAAGCCTAAAAATAATGAGTACAGCTATTTTTTTGAATTATGTTCGATCTAAAGTCTTTCAGGATACTATCTCCAACACAGGTGAGTAAGGGGTATCTACTACTTTTATTATTACTTAATTTTAATTTTGTTTCAATTACAGTTTACTTTCAATATTATTTTATATTGGTTTTAGGTATACAACATAGTGGTTAGACAATCATACTTTACAAAGTGTCCCCTGAAATTTCCAGTACCCACCTAGCACCATACATATTGACTATATTCTCTATACTGTACTTTAATATCCCCGTGAAAGAAGTGAAGGGATTAAGAGGTACAAATTGGTAGTTACAAAACAGTCTACTACTTTTACTGAAAAGGAAGAAAGCACCGACTTTGGCTTCTGGTACAATAAACGTTTTAAGATATGTCTTAAAGTAGATCTATAATTAGGAGGAAACAATATAAACTTTCCATAAGTAATATGTCTATTTTCCCCCTCAAGTTTATTAGTATTAGTGTTTCAGTATCTGTACTATTTCCTTCTTTCTACCCTTGCCAAAATCATGTTTATTCTTTTTACTGTTTTTATCATCAAGTTATCTCAGCTTCTTCCAAAGATTTCATCCACTGATTTAAAACAGAATTACTTAACTCTATTTTAACAATAACTTCTGGATTTATGAACTTACACTTCAATGACAAAATATTTCAGTCCTGAAAATCTTTATTTTTTTGATACAAGTTAAGGCATGCTCTGTATTAGGTATTTCTACTTATTTAGAACTCCATCTGCTCAAAATGCTTATTGGCACATTATTTTTGTCTTTATACTAATAACTGCCACATACTATGATTTTAAAAATTTTGAAGACTCAAAATTGCCAATAATAACAATGCAATAATATAAACTACAATATTATGTAAGTAAAAAATAAGGACACCAAACAGTAGTAATAACCACTTGTCTTTGAATGGGTTAAAAAATAGTTAACATCTGTGAAGTTATTTTCTGCAAAGAGAGTAAATCCCTGATTTCTATTTTGGAAGCAAACACACCCAATTTTAAAGTTACATCCTATCTAATAAAAGAGAAACATGGTAATTAGCCGTACGTTCGCTACCCTTCCCATTGGCTAAAAAGGGCAATATGCAAATTAACTACCAGCCAAAATGGCGGCTGGCAGCCGGGCAGCTTGAAGCGAACATGAGGCTTGCTTGCTTCAGTGACGGAGGACTCCAACGGTCCCTGCCAGTAGCTGTTAGCCTTTGAGCTTGTAGTTTGAAACATTGTTACAAATATAGAAGCTAAACAAAACCCCAGAAACCTGCTTTCAGCCAGCCGGGATCTCAGAGCTGGAGTTGAAACAGAGTTTCGATTACAGAACCCAAACAAACTAGATACCTGCTTTCAGCAGCGGAGGCCTAAGAGCTGGAGCCAAGCCTAAGAGCTAAAGCTGGCCAAGCATAA